AAAATACAGAAGACCAGGGATTTGAGAAAAGAAGCCAGGCTTTGGAGTTGGAACACCTGAAGCTGGTTTCAGCGCACAGCATTGTTCTTCTGGTTTCCTCCTCATAGCAAGAACTTTGGCCCCTTGTTCTTGTCACGTGACACTGAGCAAGCCTCCTCATCTCTCTGAGCTTCAGTCTCCCAACTGTAAAATAGGGTGACTATTATTACTACTACTGTTGCTAAAATAAAGATAATCATTTCCAGAATACTTTTTCTTCCTTCTTTCCTTCCTTCCTTCCTTCCTTCCTTCCTTTCTTCCTTCCTTCCTTCCTTCTTTCCTTCCTTCCTTCCTTTCGTCTCTCTGTCTGGCTAATTTCACTTAGCATAATGTCCTCAAGATTCATTCATGTTGTTGCAAATGGCAGGATTTCCTCTTTTCTCAGGGCTGAATAATATCCCATTATATATATACCCCCTGCAATCTTCTTCTTTATCCTTTCATTCATCGATGGACACTTGCTTGGTTTTCATGTCTTGAGATTCACAGAATTCTTGTGAAGCTAGAATGAAGTATGGAAAGGTACTTTATTAATTTTAACTGAGTAAAAACATAAGGGATTTTTTTTATTGTCATTTGTGGTTAAGGAGTTTGACTTTTTGTTTTTAAAAATATCTTTTAGCATAAGATTTTCAAACACACACAAAAGTAGAAAGAGTACTGTAATGAACTCCCATAAAAATCATCATCCAGCTTCAATCTTTATCAGGATTTTGTCAAACTTGCTTCATCTATCCTTGTTTTTCATCCCTCCCTCCCTCCCTCTCTTCCTCCCTCCCTTCTTTCTTTCCTTTTATCCTCCTCCCCTCCCCACTCATTCTCCTCTTCTTGTTGCGATAATTTGAAGGAAACTCAAGACAACATGTCTTTTCATCCCTATATCTGGTGTTGGCTCCATCCTCTTATTTTCCTCCCAGCCCATGTGGCTTTCCTGAGTGACAAACTCTGAGGTAGCAAAGATCTTCCCGGAAAGGGTCTGGCATTTACTTGGTGGTCTTAGGTGCGGGTTGAGAAACAGATCAGCAACACCCTCTCCTCTCTGTCTCAAGCACTGTCTCTGGCACCAGCCTGGACGTCTTCTCTTAATTGCGAACGCTCTTCTCTCCTGTTTTTTTCTCCTTCTTCATAGTTGTCATCCTTTTTCTCCCTATCATTTGTGTTTGTGTGGAGGGTGTGTGTAATTGTTTAATTCAGTGTCCATGTACTGTAAACAGGGGCCAAAGACGTAAGCAAGTCATGGAAAGAAAGAAAATACATGAGTTAAAAATCACATATATTCTGGAACAAGGCAAATGCCACACGTGAGTAATAAAGCAATAATATGGGATCTTAAAGAAGGTAGAAGTTACATTAAGTACAAATCTGGAAACATACTTTAAAGATGTGGACTTTAAGATGACCCTTGAAGTTTGGGTGGGAGTTTTTTTTGTGTGTGTGAGGAAGATTGGCTCTTACCTAACATGCATTGCCAATCCTCCTTTTTGCTGAGGAAGATTAGCCCTGAGCTAACATCTGTGCCCATATTCCTGTATTTTTTGTTTGTTTGTTTATAGGACGCTCCCACACATGTCTTGATGAGTGGTGCATAGGTTGGTGCCTGAGATTAGAACGTATGAACCCCAGGCCACCGAAGCGGAGCGTGCAAACTTAACCACTATAAACCAGGCCAGCCCCATGGGTAGGAGTTCTTATTGGCCTTCCCCAAATAACTACTTTCCCCTCAGTAACAAAAGTAACACATTATCATTGTGATTTATATGGAAAGTATGAAGAAGCCAAAAATGGAGGAAATTAACCTCAAATATAACCTTGTCTAACATCCAAGGGTGATAATGAAAACTATCTTTTCAGTTTTTTATCCTGTAATTTCTGTTGCAAGTACTGTATTCCACATATTATCTGATATTTATCTATGTTATCTAACACTTCATCACAAGCATTTCCTACATTTTAAAAAATGTTTTTGTAAGCTTTGATTAAGTGATTGCATAATACGCTGTTCCAATGTGTGGGGTTTTTCCACACCACCAAGCAATTCTCCACTTCTCAGCGGACACTGACCAGGTGTCCCACAAATTTAACTCAATTCCACAGGTTAAGGGCTAGGTCCCACATGACTACCTACCCACCACTTCAGAAGACATTTCCATGTCTATATTGTTACCTGTGCTTCTAACCAAGTGGCTCTAAATTGGAGATTTCCACAACCTGCTTCTCAGAGTCAATTAATTTGCTAGAGCAACTCACAGAACTCAGAGAAACATTTGAATATATATATATATATACCCTTTAGGTAACACTTCTGTGTGGAGTCGAGTCACCTTGGGGTTGAGTCTGAAGTGGAAATTAATCAAATTAATGGACCAAGAAGTTCAATTATACTAAATTACTTAAAACCAAGCCCAAGCATAAGCTCTTGGCATGGGGGGTGAATTTATAAATATTTAAGCATTGGAATGAGGGAATAATTCACACATAGGCTACATCAGATGAGCAACTAATGTCTATTTAATTCAGCTGAGACTGATGGGGAGGGTATAGCATAAGTCCAAGTGCCTCGTCCTCCCACTGTTTCGTTTTTTTTTCCACAGAAAGTGGTTTACTGCTTTTAGAAAAAAATAAGATGCTCTCAGAACTTTCTTTAGTGAAGAAAACACTTTTAGAACTTCAGAACTTTTCTAAAACTTTATTTTGTCAGCTGATGAAGTTGGCACTTCAATGTAGAAAACTTTCCAGAGGAAAGTACCTGGGCTGGATGGCACAGCTCACAATTGTGTAGACTGTCCCATTGGATGCAACTGAAGGGGAACAAAATTTGTCACCCCAAAATGTGTCTCTTTAACATGAAGATTATTTTAGGCTGATTTTTTCTTTTTTTAGGAAGATTGGCCCTGAGCTAACACCAGTTGCCAATCTTCCTCTTTTTCTTTTTTCTCCCCAAAGCCCCAGTACAGAGCTGTATATCCTAGTTGTAGGTCCTTCTAGTTCTTCCATGTGGGACACCGCCTCAGCATGGCTTGATGAGCGGTAAGTCTGCGCCCAGGATATGAACCTCGAACCCTGGGCCGCTGAAGCGGAACGCACGCACTTAATCGCTAGGCCACCGGGCCGGAGCCTAGGCTGATTATTTTTAAGAAACAGAAGACTCAGGCAATTTTTCTTGTCACCTCCTCTTTAACTGCCTAAAAGAATTTAGACAAATGGCCTGTAACAGAAATAGAGCTATCCCCAGAGGTATTTACAAAGAATATAGGCTAAGTGTGGTGGGGGATACTTGGCAGGGCCTGGAGATCAGAGTCTTCTCCAAGTTCCTACTGTCTCTGCAAGGCATGGCAAACATTTATTTACCAAACATTTGCTTTTCCCTCTCCATGTGAATTGCTTTCCTCCCTTTTGAAGTCCCCAAACCACTGCCCCCAACATCCTCTTTTGTCTTTAGCTAAAGATGGTATTTAAAGTGGTGGCTTCAGCCATTGGGGAGTTACTCAGTTTTCCTGGGTTTCTCCCATGTATACATGTTATTAAATTTTGATTTTCTCCTCTAAATCTGTCTCATGTCAATTTACCAGCCGGAAGAACCTAGAGGGGAAGAGGAAAATTTCTTCCTCCCTCACACAGCTAATTGCTTAGAAGTGGGGCTTGTGCTTGCGGCCAGTGTACTGAGTGTCTGGTCTGACTTTCTTGCCTTGATGCCTGTGGCACTTCTTCTCCAGCACCCTCTCACGGAGCTTTGTCACCAACCCTCACCTCAAAATCCTGTACAAGACCTTGTGCAGAAGACATAGCTATGGGCTGATGGATGGAGCTACCTGGCTGGCACTCAAGTTAATCCAGGCAGTGAAAAATGGTGAGCTTCCCGACAAGTTAGGTGACCTCGATGCCCCTTCTGCAACAGAAGTCCCCACTTCTGGACTCCCTCTTCCTGGTAACATTCATTGGGACGAAAGCAGTTGTTTAGTAGGAGGGCAGATAAGAGGCCCCACTCACTCAGAGTCACACCAATTTCTGGGTGTGCATACATCCTTGCCTGTGGGGCAGGCAGGAGGCCAAGCTACTTTTGGGGCACCCTAGGCTAGGATCAGCTCATGAGAGTCTGGCAGTGTCCAAGGAAAGCCAGAGGCTCCAATGCCCAGTGCTGCAACTTAAGGCCCTAGCCTGATGTATACCAAATAGGGGCTCCTGGCAACTATGAATGTCTGAGGCAGGAAAACAAGGCTGCCCAGCACATGGCAGCCCCAACAATGATCTTCAAGGGCCAATCTTGGCCTCCAGACCTGGATGAGGAGAAAAGGGACGCCCCCACAGCTCCATAGAAAAAAAGCCCTCTCTTGCTGTTGTTTTTAAGTGTTTGGCAAAGCGATATAAGGAGTGGTGGCCCTAAATTATAATTTTCTGGAATTCTTTGATATGTCAGCTGGAAAATATTGCTAACATAGTAGGTTGTGAGTTATGGTGGAGATGGGAGGGGTGTTGCAACCTTTGAAATATGTCTAAAACATGAAACAAACTAAAATACAACAATTTCAAACAAAGTTCCACCGACCAAAGAAAGGTGGAAGTGTTAGGCAAGAATTACAGAGTCGAACATGTGCTTTGGGGATGTCACACGCATTCAAATTGTTGAAACTACCAAATGCATTAGTGAATATTCTCTTGAGGAATTTCGAGCACCTAAGAGATGTTTTCTTCCTTTCTGTGGGACTGTTGTGAAGAGATGGGTTGTGTGGGAGTTGTCGGTAGTGGGGGATGGCTCTTAGTTCAGGCTGGATTCTTACCTGTGTCAACTGGAAATACTTTTTCATTTGCTCAGTTGGTGATGACTAATTTAGGGGTCAATGGATCAAAAGGTGATTTTTTGAGACCATAGAAAAGTCTAAGTTGTATCAAAGGATAATTTGGAAAAAGAAAAAAAAAAGAAGAAGAAAAGAAAGAAAGAGAGAAAAGGAAAAATCAGGATGGGTTTATTAGCTTTGCTGCAGAGGTCGTGTGTGAGTGCAGTGAGGGAAAAGGGCTGCAGGCCTGGTGGGGGCGCGTCCAGAAAAGCAGCCCAACAAAGCAGGCCACTGAGGGCCGGCACCCTAAGGCCGCGGGCTGGGCTCACGGTCAGGTCTGGCCGGGGCTCGGGAGGACCAGGCCTCTCTGCTTTCTCAAGCAGGCAAAGCAAGCTCAGAAGAAAAGAAAAACTTAAGCTTTGGTGAGTGGATTTCCTCCCTCCACGGGTTTGCGCAGTGCTCTCTCAATGGGGTTCTGCAGGGAAAAGGAGCCACAAGAACCAAAGAAGGAAAAAGAGAGCATGTTCTCTGCTATTTCCAAACTCTGCAGCATGAATTTCCCGAAGAAATTTTCCCCTAGTTTTCTTGAGATATAACTGACATACAGCACTGTGTAGGTTTAAGGTGTACAGCAGAATAATTTGACTTACGTATATTGTGAAGTGATTACCACGGTCAGTTTAATTAACATCTGTCATCTCATTCAGTTACAAACCAAAAAAGAAAAAGAAATGTTTTTTTCCTTGTGATGAGAACTCTTAGGATTTACTCTCTAAACAACTTGCGAATGTACCACAGAGCAGTGTTCACTATAGTCATCATGTTGTACATTACATCCCCAGTACTTATTTATCTTATAACAGGAAGTTTGTGCCTTTTGACCACTTTCATCCAGCTCCCACTCCCCCAGCCCCTGCCTCTGCTAAGCGCAAATCTGATCTTTTTCTAGGAGTTTGGTTTGTTTTTAGATTCCACATATAAGTGAGATCATACAGTATTTGTCTGAAGAAAATGTTAATGGATGCCCCCCCACACATTTTGCAAATACAGTAAGAGTTGTTTTATGAAACAGGTATTGTAAATATGTCAGCCTTTACCTCAGTTAGCCCACTCACCAGCTTCAGTAGAACAGCCAGCTCCTTTCTGGGAGGGACAGGAATATCAACTTCTCTGCCTTGCAGTCAGTCCAAGTAACACTTTAGCCAGCTCATCCCAAGGGTTGGGGTCTCAATATCCCTCTGGGGAGGGGCCAGAATGATGCCGTCTTCAATAGCAGATCCAAGTGTGACAACAGCAGAGGCAGGCTAGCAGTTTACAAAGGTGACTCCTCCAGGTGTGCTTAAGGTTCTGGCCTTGGCCTGCCATCTCTGCCTTGTGGGCTCCTTTACCTGCGATAGCAGTCCACAGGGAGAAGGGCACCCTCTAGACTCAGAGTACTTTAGGGGAGGAGAAATAATTTTCCCCCTACTCTGTCAACCTAAAAACAAGAAACCAATTCAAGAGACAAATCATTAATTTGGAATCAAAAAATTGCAATAGGGTACACAGATTTGGGTAGCAACCCAAACAGTGTCCCATTAGGGAGCAAAAGTCAGGGGTTTTTAAAGACAAAAAGGGAATGCTTGCATAATTTGTTTACAAAGAATTTTGATTGGTGTGGGCAGCAGACAACTAATCTTGGCTAAACATGATTGGTTGCTAAGGCTATCACTAAGCAAAAGTGTAGTACTGTAGCAAGTTGCAGGTGTTCTTGCAGAGTCCTTAGACTATTTGCAAGTTTGGCCCAGTTCGAAAGTTCATGGTTCCATTTGGTGAGGATGTGCATAAAGCCCACTTCCTTCGTGGCCTCCCAGTTCCATTTTAAAACTCCTTGACGTAAGTGACTCCATTTTATTTTACCTTTCACAACCCTTCTAGGTTCTTGGATGAGACCCCCCCCCCCCGTAATAAAAGGTTAACAGAAGAAAAACAAACAGAAGTTTAATAACATGTATACCTCGTGTATACATGGGAGAAATCCAGGAAAACTGAGTAACTCTCCAAAATGGCCCAAGCCACCACCTTACAAACCATCTCCAGCTAAAGGCAAAAGAAGATGTTGGGGTGGGGGGTAGCTAGTTTTGAGAGGTTATCAGGAAAAGCACAGTAAACAAGGGTAAGGTTGTTATGCAGATTTAAGTTGGGAGCCTTCTCCATTGATGAGAGTTTCTAGAGACTTAGTCATCCCCTTCTTCCCGGTACAAAGAGAGAGACATCCTTACAAATGGAGATTTCCCTTATAAATGTGAATGTCTCTTACAAAAGGGTAACTTCTACTCAGTTTTCAGAGCTTCTACTGTGTTTGCTGGTTCTTAAAAATTATCAACCTAAAATAATCCTTATGCCAAAGAGGCATATTTTGGGGTGGCAAATTCTGCTCCCCCTATAGTACCATAAATCACCAGCCTGGCTGTGGGAAGCATCTCCAAGTATAGCCAATTATCAGGTCAGAGTCAGCCCACCCTCAGTCCAGAGGCGCACACTCCTCTTTTTTTTTCTATTTAGGCCCATAGGTCTTACAATGTCTAGCACCTTCTAGCGGGGAACCAGCCAGGCAGGCTGATCTCCTTCACTGAGCAGCCTTGTACCTCTCACCCCAAAAGTCCTTTCCAATGTCATGAGTTTACTCAAATTCTGGCACTACAGCTTGGCCAGGTTAAGGGGGCACAGGGTAAGACCATGAAAAAAAATAGAGTATAATATAGCACAGAGAAATGCAATGCTAAACTGATGCAGAGGCATTTCAGATTGTTTCCCAACCAAGATCATTTTGCCAATTGACTGTCTTATTGACTGAGTGGACCCCATATCAATTTCTTGATAATCTCCAAAATCCTGCCCTTTCCTCATCACCACTTGTAGTAAGTTAGAAGAATTTTAGAGCTGATCAAGGAACAAGATATGACTGTGAAGTGGCAGAAGCAACAATGTGCTTTATTTGGGCAATGACTTGACAGGTTTGCATGCACGTGTAGGGGAGGAAGAACTATTCCTCTACACTCTAGGTTCTTCTGGCTGGTCTAAGAAATAAATTGACATGAGACAGAATAACAAGAAAAAATAAAACAAATATAATAACATGTATACATGGGAGAAACCCAGGAAAACTGAGTAACTCACCAAAATGGCTGAAGCCACCACCTTGAATACCATCATCAGCCAAACACAAAAGAGGTTTTTGGAGGTCGTGGTTTGAGACTTCAAAGGAGAGGAAGGCAATTCACGTAGAGATGAAAAAGCAAATGTTTGGTAAACAAATGTTTGCCATACCTTGCAAAGACAACGGGACCTGAGAAAGAACTTTGATAAAATGGGCCTTGCTAGGTTCCTCCCTGTCTACCATATGTAATTCATATTATACTATAGTTACTTTATGATATTAGCTCCTTCCTGGAACAGGCCTTCTATCTTAAATTCTTTAAGGCAGTTAGGGAGAAGGTCAAAGTTTCTTTCTGAGTCTTTTGTTCTTAAAAATAATTAATCCAGGGGCTGGACCATTGGCGTAGTGGTTAAGTTCACGCACTCTGCTTTGATGGCCCGGGGTTCATGGGTTCGGATCCCGGGCGCAGACCTACACACTGCTCCTCAAGCCATGCTGTGGTGGAGTTCCACATCCAAAATAGAGGAAGATGAGCACAGATGTTAGCTCAGGGCCACTCTTCCTCAAGCAAAAAGAGGAAGGGTGGCAACAGATGTTAGCTCAGGGCCAATCTTCCTCACATACACAAAAAATTAAGCCAAAGAGACACATTTTGTGGTGGCAAATTCTTTTTGTTTTTTTGTGAGGAAGCTCAGCCCTGAGCTAACATCCATGCCAATCCTCCTCTTTTTGCCGAGGAAGATTGGCCCTGAGCTAACATCCGTGCCGATCTTCCTCCACGTTATATGGGATGCCACCACAGCGTGGCCTGACAAGCGGTGCGCCAGTGCGCACCCGGGATCCGAACCCAGGCCGCCAGCAGCGGAACGCGTGCACTTAACCGCTACGCCATGGGGCTGGCCCTGTGGTGGCAAATTCTGATCCCCCACAGGATCAATGTCTGAGAAGCTATCTAGCTACGGTTAGACGAGATTCCAAACTTCCAAAGCAAAACTTTTCTGCCTTAAACAATTAAAATCTGTACAATTAGAACTAGAATGCCCTTTCACTTAAAAACTACATCAAGTGAATAGAAATTGATCTTGAATCACATACTGTTGAGGTAGCATATGATGTGACTAATTCAAAGGGATGGGTAGGGAACGGAGTACAATTTTCTTTCACTAGGTCATATTGGTGGAAATAGTGCTGTTATAAATCCCCCTTAGTAGCTTACATCTATTATGCCTTTACTCTGTGGCAAGCAAGGTGCTAAGTAATTTACTTGAATGATCTTATTTGATGCTCAAATAAATCCTAAGTGTGAGGTACTGTTATTACCATTAAAGAGGAGGAGACTGTTGCCCACTGGCACAAAGCTAATAAGAGAGCGAGAATTTGAAGTGAAGTCTGTCTGACTCTAGAGTCCACGCTTTGTCAAATTTAATACAATGGTCAAACACAGCAATGCCACATTAGTGCAATGTGGCCTCTAATCCCAGATCTGCCATATCCTAGCTGTTTGTGCCTTGGAAATTTACCTAACCTCTATGGTTTCATCATCCTTTTCTATAAGATGGGAACATTAAGTCGTAGAATTGATGAGAGGAATAAATGATATAATATATGTAAGTTGTCTCCCACAATGCCTAGCCACAGAATAAGCACACAGAATTGTTCACTACTATGATTCCATATCGTCTCCCATTATCCCATTATAACCTGTTGTCTCACCTTTCCTATATGGCGTAAGGGAAAGAGGCCTGGTTAGGAGGCAGGAGGTCTGGGTTCTTGCCGCAGCTCTATTATTTCTCTCTATCTTTGAACAAGCTGCTTAACCTGTTATATCTCTGTTGTCCCATCTATAGAATTATGATAGCCTTATGAATGTATTGAGACTAGGTCTAGTGCTGAAAAGATATCAAGCATGTTTAAAAAAAATCAGGAAAAGAAAGTAAAGGATTCAATGTGTTATATAAACAAAGAATCATTTAATGCATTGTTGTCTACAATTTGGAGGGTCCTATTCATGTTTCCACCCCACTCTCCACGCCACTTTCCCAGACCAATGCTTCCTATTTGTCCTTTCTCCCCAAATACAGAGAAAGGAAATCAGATGAATAGCAAGGAGGGGAAATTTTAAAAGTAAGCATAGTGGATATCTGATGGTAGTAAAGACTTGTCCGTCTTCTGGCTGTGATAATGATACTGAAATTATGTGTATAAAAAATGGTTATTACTTAAACATACAGACTGAAATACTTACTAATGAAATTATGTGATGTCTAAAATTGCTTCAAAATAATCATGGGTTGAGTGCAAAGGTGTTGGAGAATTGATAAGGCTATTGATGAAATAAGATTGGATGTGAATGACAATCGTTGAAACTGGGTGATGGCGATATGAGGGTTCATTTTATGATTTTATCTGCTTTTGTATACACTGGATGTTTTCCATAATAATTATTTTTCAAAAAGATCAAGGATTGAGAAATTACAATGGATACCACGGAAATACAGAGGATTATAAGAGAATACTATGAGAAATTATATGCCAACAAATTGGACAATCTAGAAGAAATGGATAAATTCTTAGACTCATACAACCTCCCAAAACTGAACCAAGAAGAAGTGGAGAATCTGAATAGACCAATCACAAGTAAAGAGATTGAAATAGTAATCAAAAACCTCCCAAAAAA